ATGGTCAAATTTGATTCCTACACTATCTCTCACAAGTAATTCATCAAAATAATTCCAAACATCATCATGAACATATATGTATGCATCAAATCATTCAATAATGCACGAATTAAGAGTTTGAGATTGATAAAGTTACCAAAACCGATGATGTTGAGGGTAAGGGTTCTGGCGTGCTTCAAGCTTGAGTAAGGATTGCAATGACTTCCTAGGAACCTCGAGAGTGTTATAGAATGCTTGGAATCGATTGATAAAGGTTTCACACGAGGGTTTGAGTTTGCCATAATTTCTTGAAAAAATTGGAATTTTAGGGTTGCTTATATGATGCAACATGCATGTTTTTGAATGGCTGAAGGTGTTGTGCATTTATAGGAGAAGAATTAGGTCAACAAAAGTGAGATGAATCTTTGTATTTCATGGTGAAGATATTTGATTTGATTTTGCATGAAAAGTTTCTTTTTTAAGCTCAATCTTGTACCAATCTGCCTCACACGGTTTTGCTAGTTGGTTGTGAGCTTTTTGGGCTTCAAATCTGACCCAAAACAAAAGCCTTGCGCCTTAAATCCATTAGTTTTGTATTTTATTTGATTTATTTTGAATTTAATTGAATAAAATCAAAATAAAAAGAAATAAAAATCACAAAAATATATGAATGGATTTAGAGGTCTAATATGAGGTCATGAACACGCTTGAACCTAAAAACTTAGGCCCATTAGCCAAAAGATTCGGTTTTGCTCAAAGTGAACTTCATACATTTTCTCAAAATTTTTCAACTTGCACCAATCATAACTCTTTCAATTTCTGTAATATGAATATGATCTTGGACTTTTTGGAAACCTAAAGATGTCTCCTACAACTTTCATGTTGATCGTTTTTTCATTTGAAGTCTTTAACTTGATGTAAATTGCTTTAACAAAAGATGTCTTTTTGTTGACTTTCAAAATGCCCTGTAAAGTTTTGGCTCATATTTCTCAAATGAAGCATTTTTGGCCTTGAGCTTAGAGAGACAAAGTTGTATAGAATTGAATTTCCTTCAAGATAGAATTTGGTTAAGGAATTTCTGATGAAGTATGTTAAAGTTATGCTTGGTCAAAGTTCAGTTGACTTCTCCTTAAGAAAACCCTAATTTAGTAACTTTTGACTTTTGATGAATCTAGAATTTTCTTGACGATTCATGATCGACCCATGATCAAATGATGAATGTGACTTCAAAATCTTGATATTGATAAAAAATATTAAAATTTGACTATCAATTGGTCAAAGTTGACTTTTTGTTCAATACAAATGATTTTTAATCATCTGACTAATTGATTGAGCGAACTTGTGATGTAAGGCTTGAAATTTGGCACGAGGATACTTTGAGACATATGAGAAACCATGAAGTCCATTTGAGGAATTAGAAACTTAATTTACTTTTAGAGAAGTAAAACCCTAGTTGTAGGTTAATTGCTTAGGAGGAGAGTCCATTTGATCAATCTTTGATAAGTCTTGAGTGTTTGAGACCTTCATGAGCATGAGGAGGTCTCTTGAACCATTTTGTCTTAAGAATGGGAGGGAAAATTTTGGGGTACAACATTCACATATTGAAAAATATATATGATTAATATCTATGACTCATTAGCATAAAATTATCGGATAAATATGACTACTACTAACCTTGAATTCCTCAAAACGATGGTCCTTCACAAACTTTCTCCATTGCTTATTCGATATATAACTATATCTTATCCATGGACGAGCAAGATCTGGCTTAGACTTCCTAATGTAATCTCGCGTGAGCCGTGACTTAAAGCCTCTCCAACAAGTATCGACATAAGTGATCCATTTTTTTCAACTTTAAGTCATCGGTAAACTCAAATTTCAACTACATTCAAATTAATAAGTAAGTATTAAAAGCTACCTAAAAAGTGAAATCGAATAGATGAAAATTAAAACTATTACCATAACGTTTATCCATATGCTTTCTTTGATAGCACTTGTCACTTGTTTCCGATCATCTACCAATATGCTGACTTTGCTTCGTGCAAGTAACACAATATAACTCTTAAAAGTAGATTGATGTTCACAACCAACAACTTTGTAGAACGAATCAAATACGATCGACTTTTTGTCACCTGCGTTGTGTACTTTTGTGAATTCGGACATCATTGTGACACCTCTTTGTGATATTTTTGTTTGGGTATCATTTGTACAAGTATTATTTGCATAAGAATCATTTGCATGATCAGTTTCTTCGCTAGTAGATGAAAAATTCGATAATGTCGACATCTATGTTCACAGACAACAACAACAACAACATTAACAACAACAACAACAAAAACAACAACAACACCAAGAACATAAACAATAACAACAACAACAAGCTCTTAAGTCAACAACAACAAGATTCACAACAATAGAAAATGAAGTCTACTGTAGATGCACAGGGAAAAAGTTTTTCGTACCGTAAACGTGATGACTAAGTAAAGGAGAATATTATGTTGGTGTTGGTGTTGTCTTCCTTCCAGACGATGCCGATGGTGTTGGTGATGTCTTTCTTCCTGACAATGACGATGTTGTTCGTGTTTTCAACCTTCTCGATGATGATGACCGTGTTCGTGTTGTCGACCTCCTCGACAAAAATGAATGATAAACAATATTGAGCGATGGTAAAGAGTGACAGTATCAAAGTATTGAATGAAAAATAAACGATAAGTAATATTGAACGATGGTGTTAGGGTTGATAGTATCGTTTCACATTATTAAAGGTTATAATTGTTTCATCTTGTTTTTTTTCCTAGTGGAAATATAGAAACTGAAGAGACAAGCTATGTAGAAGTGTATAATATTTAAAAAGATACCACCATGATCCAAACTCTAAAACGTAATGATATGTTATTTGCATAATAAAATTTTATAAAGAAGCACCATCGTTTATCCATTTAAAATTTTTAAATAAAAAACAAAATATATCACAACGGTTGAACTCACCAACCCTTGTGCTATTCCTTTTATTCTTTATTTAAAAATAAATAAGAAATAAAAGATGCGCCTTAATGTTAAATGAATAAAATACTTGAGCTGGCTGAGGTTCGAACCCATGAAAGCTTGAATATATCACCACAGTCACTTTAATAACCGTTATTATATCCTAACAATTATTATTTAAAAAAAAGTGTGCCCTTGTATTTAGAGATGTCACTACGGTATTTAAATGAATCATTGTGACTTTGGTGTTGTTGTATGCGCGTTTTGTAGTAGTGTAAAACATGTTAACCATGGAAAAATAATCACCGAAAATCAGAGATTTCAAAAGAGAAAGATCTCAAAGTAAGTAAAGAGAATAAAGTGAAGTGGAAGAAGTAAGAACTTGCTCTGCAATGGATTTATGTTAAAACATTAACCATATTAGATTGCAATAGTATTTTCAAGAAGAATTCCAGCAACCATAAATAAGAGAGATGAGAGAAACAAAGAAATAATAGTAAAAAGCAATTACCCCATTTTACATGCACTCTCTATTGATCCTGAAAGCTTAAACACCTAGAAATCCAATAATTCAAAATCAAAGACCCAAGAGGCCAAGAACAAGCACATACATGGGAGCCATGCTAGTCAAGGGAATCTCATAAAGACCATTGTCGCATCTATAGATTCTACAAGATAATCAATTTACACTCAATATAAACTACTTAATCCCACGACTACGATCCACTTGGAAGAAGAAGGAGGCATAAATGCCAGGTAGAGTCCTTGTCTCTCGCTAACTACAAACACAACAAATGTGGCAACATGGTCTGAACATACACCCATACCCTAAAAAAATGCAAAGTAAGAGAAAACATGATGTATGTGACACATGTCTAAGGATTATTTATATGAATCCCTAAAAATAGTTAGTTGCTCAAAACGGCTACTCATATCTCCTCTAATGTATCACACACTAAGGGTCATAATCATGATCATTCTCTAGAAAATAACTACTCCATATGAATTACAATGAGTCTCAAAACAAGGCCATAACATGGCTTTATAGGCTAAGACTTCCAGGTCAAAACTCAATCCATATAAGAATACATGACCATATATAAGGAAACGTAATTGAGCAGATAACTTGAAATTGAAATCAACATAGAACAATCATCTTTAAATAATCTATCATTATAACTATCAATAGAACTACTTGAAAAATAATTATTTTTTAAGATCAATTATGATTTGAGATATCTATAATCATAAATGAGTGTTATTTGAACACCTTACATTTAACACCGTATGTGACACTATATACCAATGACTATATCTCTCTTTTAATTTTTCATTTCATATAATTACACGAATTATAATAATACACTACTACACTTAAAAATTACATTGGACACCTTTTTAACATTCAAGTTTGGGTGTCAAAATATCATAATATGCGTGTTCATAATTGATTTGTTTCAAATATTTATTTAACCAATTGTCTATTTAATTTCTATTCATTTTAAATATTAGAGATGTTTTTTAATAACATAATATAATATTTCCTGTAAAAAATACTATCTATTACATTTCCTGTATTATAAAAGAATTATAAAAAAAAATTATAATAACATGATTTCTAAGATTTGGGAACAAAAAATGTCTGTATATTAATTATTATTTATTTATTAATCTCTATAACTCTAAAGTCTCAGTTCCTGTACATTTATTTTAATCTCCTTTTCCTTCCTTTCCGGTCCAAACAAAAAAGCAAGTAGTTGCTGGCTCACACAAGTAAGATCGAATTTACTCCTTTTCACAACATTATTGAGACGTCGTAAAAATTTCTACATTTTCATCTCAACACTCCTTCCCTTCTAATTCGATAAATTTCTAATGCGCTCAAAGTCAGTGTCCATTAACCAACAACAATCACATTCATTCACGCACACTATCGTCACAGACTGAACTAGATAAACCAAAAACAAAACTCATCAATTTTCAGATCTCACTTTCGATGGAACTTTCGCTGTTCGATCTCGGCGATTCGAGTTGAGATGCAGCCGAATTTGTTTCCCTTTGGAACCGCGCTGAGTAATCCGTTTATTTTCAATGGTGATTTGAGTGAAGGAGGTGGAATCGATAGTTCTAGGGTTTTCGTTTTGCTTCCGTTCTTCTTGCTCTCTCAAGGAGGAGCAATGGATTTGTCTAAGGTTGGGGAGAAGATCTTGAGTTCGGTTAGGTCTGCGAGATCGCTTGGATTGCTTCCTTCTGTTCCTGATCGGCCGGAGGTGAATCGTCTTTCACATGATTTGAATTCGTGATAGATGATTTTAGATAATGCTGTATGATACGATAGTTGAACGGTGTTATCTTGTTGTTATGGTTAAGTTAGGTAAATGCGTTTGGTTTTGCTTCTGATGCATTTTATGAGAATTGTAGTTGTAGTTTTTGGTTTTGGTGTGAGAATTAGTAGAAGTAAGGTAGAGTTGTATAAGCTATTTTAAAGAGATTTATGAGTTATACATACACCTTGCAAGTAATTTGCTAGAAGGAATTTAAGCTATTTTGAAGAGATTTAGGGTCTGTTTGGATAAACAGCTTATTTGCGGCTTGTAACACAAGTGCTCATCAAAATAAGCGCTTATGAATAAGCTCGCAAAAACTATTTTTATGACAAAAGATCAGATAAATTTAAATAGTTTTTTATATATGTTATAAGTTGTTTTCATTAGCTCTTTTGAAGAATTTATAAAAATAAGTTGAAAAAAATTATGAAAAATGTCATAAGCTGTTTTGATTAAGTCTCCCAAACAGTGTCGCAAAACTTATGGTAGTAGATAAGCTCAAATAAGCCCATCCAAACAGGCCCTTATAGGTTATACACATTGCAAGTAATTTGCTAGAAGGAATTTGATTACGTGACTGAAAGAATGAGCTCTTGTTAAAATTATCAACAGATAGTTCCTATCATATGAGAAACCAGTTACGTGTGACATTGGAAAGTTATAAAGATATGAATGTACATATAAATTTTAATTTTATATTGAGTTCCAAAACTTTTTGATTGTGGTTTGCTTCTACTTGGTTCATCTTCAACCATGGTAGCTATAATTTACTATTATTATTAGTAATGATTATAAACTAATATTTGTGTTCCTGATTTTTATATTAAATGATTGAATTATTCTTCGAATTCTAAATGTATTGCTCTTTCATACGGTCTTTGTAACTCTTGTCTATTGCAGTGGTTTCTTGTTTAGTTAGGATGAGGAGTTTGTAAACCTAGATACTTACTTTTGCTCACAAAGCTGTTTATCCTGTATTCTTGATTGATAACTTGGTAGCTCAACTACAAGTATTTTGAATGTCTTTGTTCAGTCCTCACCCTCACCAGTGAACCTAACTGTGAATGTTTTCTGGTTGTCGTTATGTTCTTATTAAAATATTTGCTAGTCTGTAAGACTCCTTGTTTTGTCTGTAAGTTGGAGTCATATTTTTTATGTTTTAAAATTTTGTTGAACAGGTTCCAGCTCGAGCTGCTGCTGCAGCTGCCGTAGCTCGTGCTATTGCAGGGTTACCTCCTCATCAGAGGTATAGTCTTTCATCAAGTTCAGCAGAGCTGAGTTCAATATATGGAAGCATACCTCATGGCCCTGCGGTGGAGGAACTGGAGGATGAATTCTACGAGGAGGTGATACTCGCCTGTATCACTTTAGTGTCAATTTCATGCTGTTTTTCCTGCAACATGAACATCCCCTGTGTTGGGTGACAGAAAATATTTTGAGACTAGGTTGCACATTTGGAGAGATGCTTTTTCTGTATGTCCATGTTCATAGGAAGATGGAAGATATGCATTTTTAGAATTTAAAACATATGACTTTTCTTTTAAGGATTAGTTTTGTAGCATTGGCCATTCATATATCTCTCCATAACTGCTCACTCCAAACTTTTAAAATTTCATTAATATTTGGTTATTCCATTGTTTAGAACTTGAACTTCTGGGAATGAAATCCATATTGATTTAGCAACCACAATTTCTTTGTTTGAATCTTTTTTTTACCAAAGAGACATTTGATTTTCCCTCATTTTCCCGCTGTTCAGTTTTGCTTATAACAGCTTGTTCTTAGTAATATACTACTGAATAAATTTAGATTTTTGTTTTTCTGTATGTTTCTACTGGTTATTGGAATATCCCACTATCGTCCAATACAACGAAATAGGAAGGAAACATTCAAGAACATAAATTGTGCTGCAAACATAGAGAAGAAAGGCTACTTTTTATTGTTACACATATGCTAACACTTTGAAATTACCTTTTCATTTTTTCACTTAATTGAAATCCTATTCAAATTACTCATTTGATTACTGTGAATTATGAAGTGAATGGATTCTTTACCGGTGTTACTCAAATCTGTCATAAATATCTTAATGCAGGATTTTGATCCAATCAGGCATATTTTGGAGCGCGTTCCATCTGAAGAAAATGAGCTATCATATTTTGAAAAGCAGGTACCAATGTCTCTTTGTCGCTATCAATTGGAAATGTTTTTACTCTTATATTTAAAGGTGAAATGTTATGTATCCTCCGCTGATTCATTCTCTTGCTCAATGAATAATAGTGGTATCTGTCATACTAATTATTAGTCTGAAAGAAACTTACAATTTTGTTTACACTTACAGTTGTTGATATATATTAACTTGGTGCTTCCCTTTTATTATTTATTAAAAGTAAAGTTTTTTAACCTTAGATCCTCATCTCCGACATCTATTTGGGAATTGTCATCTCTTGTTTAATATTTGTTGTGTTTCTGATGCTGTGTTATTCAAATAGATATGTTTGGCTGAAAAAGATACAGAATCTGGGGAACCATTCCTTTATTTAAACTATTTACTGGGAAGAAGAGGTTTGCAGTGCTGTTAAAGGAGTGTTATTTTTCTAGCCGATTAAAGCAAGTAGGGGTTAGAGACTAGACTTTGCACAAATAGGCTAAAGCCTGTTTAGCCAGCTTAAGCATGACCTGTTACTTATGGTCTATCACAGGTTCTTTATTGAGAATTGGGTAAGCCTGGTTTTATTCAAAGTCTGACTTGGCTTGAAAACCTATTTAAAATTGTATTGTACTTGAAGCCCTTCAAATAGGTCAAGAATCTTAAGATTTTTTAATTAAAAAATAGATGTAACCTCAGTAAAATCATTATAAATTTCTAACAATATGTATCTTAATAGGAAATAAATAGGCTTGCTAGTTGGCCTTTTGGAAAGCCAAAGTCTAACTTGTTTTTTTAAATTGGCCATGGCAAACGAGGCAAAAAATAAGGACGGGCTATAGACTTTTGAGAAACCACTTTGCCTGTTCTTGGTCCACCTATTCCAGGGTTGGATTACTACACAATCTCAGGCTCTCAGCTTATGTGGCTGGAGTCTTCAAGTCCTTTTCAAAGCTTGTTTTTCTGACTTATTAAGTTATTTCTCTTTTCAATTTGATGCACATTGATAAGTATCCGAGCTCTTGGGCGACGCTTCCTTAAAAACTAGCTATCAGGGGGGAAGAAACAAACCACTGAAATACTCCACCAAGCATCACATACTACTCGATATGGGACTTCGGCATCTCATAATATCAAAGTCCCTATCATAGCACCGCCCCCGGGAACTAACGTCCCGACGACTGACTCTAAGGAGCTTTACTCGACCTTTCCGGTGAGCCCCCTCCATAGGTAGCCCTTTCCGAACCATCAATATCTATCTCTTATACCAACTGATAAGTATCTAAGCACTTGGGGAACCCTCTCTTAAAAGCTAGCTATCAAGGAGGAATGACCAAGCCTCTCAAATAATCAACCTAGCACCCCATACTACTTAATGTGGGACTTGGGCACCCCATAATACCAAAGTGCCTACCATACTTCCCTATGATAGGCAGCTTGTTTTTCATTTAGGAATTGAAGCAAAGTCATAAAAGTTAGCATAATAACTTCAGTTCATATTAACTAGATGAACAAATTAAATACTAGATTAAACTATGTATCCTTTCTCCACTCAGTGGGATAAAGCTTTGTGGTTGTTGTTGTTTTAAACTATATAACCTTTGTAGTCATTTATTGTTTATTTTCTCATGCTAGTAATCTTATTATAGTTGGTGTTTATGAAGGGCTGTTCACAAAGTTCCGCATTGTGGGTTTTTATGTTACTAGTTTTCTAATTTTGTGATTTGTGACTACGTATGGCGTATGCTAAGAGAATATCAATAATTTTTTGCTCGTGCGAATCTAGTTATTTGATTGAGTTAGGTTGCATTTTCATGCTATATGTTATCAATTCTCTTGATAGGATGCTTGTATTGGTTTGTCATATAGGCTGCCCTTAGATTAACACAATTGGATAAAGTAGCAGAGCATTTGTCTCGCCATGTTATGGAGCATCATGAAGTAATGGGTAAGTTCAAAAGTTGAATTCTTAGAATTGACTACATCCTTTGTGAAGTTTTCGTACACAAGGTTATGCATGTTAGGTATCTGTTTAACACTTGTTTTCTGCTGTCCACTTTCTTTTACCTATATATTTCGAAGTTGACAATTCTTTTTGCCTTTGTTTTGTGTATTATTATTATTGTTATTATTATTTACTCAATAAAAAAGTCAATTAAGACTTGACTGACTTACAACCATGTTTAGATCCTAATTATAACATAATGAATTAATAATATATTTGGAAGAATGCAGTATCACTTCTGGTGTAAATGATCAACAATTTTAGTTTAAGTTCATCGGGAAATTAGAAAGTAGGGCGCATGTAACTTCCCCGCAGTTGCCAACTTGCCAATGTAGACCACTTGCTTTTTGAAAAAGGTTTTAGAATAAGGATCTGATACTTACTTTTGGCCAGTGAAGGGGATGAATTTGGTCAGGGAATTGGAGAAAGACTTGAGAATTGCAAACGTCATCTGTATGGTGAGCATCATAAGAGTTTCAACATGTATTGATGTTACCTTTTTGCTCTGTATTGATCTTACTGCATTCTTTTAAATGATTTTACAGAATGGAAGAAGACACCTGACATCTTCTATGAATGAGGTTTCAAGGGATTTGATTGTGAATTCTTATTCAAAAAAGAAACAAGCACTAATGGTATTTTCCTTTCTTTATGAATTTAAACTGGCCATAACTTTATGTTTTTGTTTTTAGTTGTCTTTATGCATTGTTTTCTCTTTTGCGACTGTCTTACTTTATTATGTGTTTTGAAGACCGATTTCTTGACATTAATGAGTTGTTTTTGGGGTTATAAAGTAGGTTAGTCTAGGATAGTGTGCAAAATGCATACTTACAATCAGACCTTAATATAGCTTGTGGTGGTAACTTCATGAGTTCATCCTTTCCCATTCATAGGACATGCTTCCAGTCTTGACGGAACTTCAACGTGCACCAGACATGCAATCAACACTTGAATCTCTTGTAGAGGAAGGGAATTATTGGAAGGTGGGCTTCTATGTATGCTTTAACTTGAAGATTTTAGTCAACCACTCATAACTTGAAAATTGTAGTCAATCACTCACTACTTTCTTCTAATATTTTTATTTTATACGATCATTATGCAGGCATTTCAAGTCCTATCAGAGTTTTTGCAACTCTTAGATAGTTTGTCAGAGCTTTCTGTAATGCAGGAGATGAGTCGTGGTGTGGAGGTGAATATTGAATAAACTAGTATTTTGAAAGATTAAGCATGATATGTATTGTACATATTCATGATGAAAATGTAGGGTATTTGTGTAATTACTTGTTTTAGTTAAATACGTCATATTATTAATGTAGGTTTGGCTGGGAAGAACATTGCAGAAGTTGGATGCTCTTTTATTGGATGTGTGCCAGGAATTTAAGGAAGACGACTATATGACAGTGAGTATCTGTTTATTTTCTGATGGAAATGAGTTTACTTTCTAGTCAATATCAAATGGAGGACGTGTTGAGTATTCAGTGCTCAGAATAATGAGCATGCGTACTTTACATTTTTCTCTCTGCTGGTTGGAATGTGACAAATTAAAATCTATTTCTTAACTGGGTCTATTTAAAATTGCCTTATGAACTTTGATATCTTGATGGGTGAAGTTTGGCGATGCCATATATTTTTGCCATGGTGAATTTCAAATAAATTGAGGGGGAAAAAGGATGACAAAGGTTGCTATTGAATTAGGAGAGACTAAGAGACGTTTAGATTAAACTGTGTGTTTTGAAAAGCACTACGAAGACTTTATTATATATAGAGAGATTACAATTAATGCTATGATATAGTCGATGTGGGACTATTCTACATACAAATATTCTTAACACTATATATATAAAAATATCAACACTCCCCCTCAAGCTTGAGCATATAAGTCAAATGCACCAAACTTGCCACATATATAATTAGTTCTGGGACTTCGCAAAGATTTTGTGAACACATCTGCCAATTGATCATTCGAGTTGACAAAGTTTGTGGTGATGTCGCCTGACTCGATCTTCTCTCTGACAAAGTGACAGTCAATCTCAATATGTTTGGTCCGCTCATGGAAGACCGAATTTGAAGTAATGTGCAATGCAGCTTGATTATCACAAATAAGTGTCATTGGTCTTGCTTCTTCAATTTTAAGTTCCTTAAGCAACTGTTTTAACCAAACAAGTTCACATGTTGCCATCGCCATGGCTCTATACTCTGCCTCGACGCTTGATCTTGCAACTACATTTTGTTTCTTATTTTTTTAAGATATAAGGTTTCCTCCAACAAGTATACAATACCTAGAGGTGGATCGTCTATCAATTGGTGATCCTGCCCAATCAACATCGGAGTATCCAACTATCTGAGTATGTCCTTTATCTTCATACACTAAATCTTTTCCTGGAGCACATTTGATGTATCTCAGAATCCGGATAACATCATCCATGTGTTTCTGACAAGGGAAATTTAGGAACCGACTTACCACACTGACTGCAAAAGAAATGTCTGGACGAGTGACTGAGATAATTCAACTTTCCAACCAATCTTCTATACCTTCCCGAGTCTAATAGAGGCTCCCCCTGATTGGGTAGTAGTTTGACACTTGGATCCATAGGAGTATCAACTGGTTTAGCGTTCAACAAACCTGTTTCTTCCAAAATATCCATAGCATATTTCCGTTGAGAAATCACCAAACCATCTTTAGATTGGGCTACCTCAATACCAACGAAATATTGGAGTTTACTAAGATCTTTTGTCTGAAATTGATTCGAGAGATGTTGTTTCAAGTGGAGTATTCCCTGCTCATCACTACTAGTTATGACAATATCATCTACATATAAAATAAGATAAATACACCCTTTGGCTGAGTGATGATAAAAGACGGAATGGTCAGCTTCACTATGGACCATACCAAATTGTTGTACTACAATGCTGAATCTGCCAAACCAAGCTCTCGGAGATTGTTTAAGACCATAAAGAGACCTGTGTAACCTACAAACAATATTCGATGACTCCCCCTGAGCAACAAAACCAGGTGGTTGCTCCATATATACTTCCTCTTTAAGATCACCATGTAAAAATGTATTTTTGATGTCAAGTTGATGAAGAGGCCAATGTCGAATGGCTGCAATGGCTAGAAGAAGTCTAACAGATGCCATCTTGGCTACAGGCGAGAAGGTATCACTATAATCCAATCCAAAAATCTGAGTGTGTCCTTTGGCTACCAAGCGAGTTTTAAATCGATCAATCTTACCATCTGGACCGACTTTCATTGTATAAAGCCAACGACAACCTACTAAAGATTTCCTAGGGGGTAGAGGAACCAGTTCCCATGTACCACTGCTTTGAAGAGCACACATTTCATCAATCATTGCTTGCCTCCACTTAGAGTGAGATAATGCTTCACCTGGAGTGTTAGGAATAGAAACAGAAGACAAATAAGACAAACAAATATATTGCAAAGGGGAAAGACGATGATAACTGTTAAGAGTCCACATCGGACAATATATGGCCTGAACATGACTTTATAAGTGGGAGTAATCTTCACCTTACAAGCCGATTTTGTAGGGTTGAGTTAGACCCAACTCACACATTCTAAGAATAACATAAATCAATATAATGTGGAGAAGGATTTTGTGTTTGACGTATACCTTTTCGAAGGGCAATCGAAAGATCGGAATCAAGTTGCAGGATCGGATCCGGTGATGGCGAGAGCGTCGGAGGAGAGTCTGCAATGACCTCAGGGACATGTACGACCTCAGAGACAGGTACGACCTTAGGGACAGGTACAACAGACGTTGGTTGACGACGTTGATATGTTTGAAGTGGACGAGAAGTCGGAGGGTTAACCATAAGGTTATCTAGTGGGCCAGATTCCCTAGAATGATGGGGGATAATGACATATGGGACTTCTGGAAGAGGTGTGGGAGTATTCTCCTGAAAGGGTTTCGGAGTTACTTGGTTGGACTCGAAATATGGAACAGACTCGAAGAAGGTGACATCGGCCGACATGAGGTATCGTTGTAGGGTATGTGAATAGCAACAATAACCTTTTTGGGATCCGTGATAACAAAAAAAAAACGCACTTTAGTGATCGAGCTGATAGTTTATCTCAGAGAAAACTCAGAGAAGATGATTGAGAGAAGCAAACAATGAGTTACCGGTGTGTGCAACCGAAGTAGTAGAATCCGAGTTTTGATAATTCCGATACCAATTGAGGAAATCATCGTAGTTTGGTGTAAAGTTCTGAGGAGTAGCCATGAGTATCAAATTTGGAAAAGTTGCACGGTGGCGAGTGCGGTGGTGTTAAAATCGTCGGAATCAGACGGATCGAAGGAGGTGCTTTTGTCGGAAGGTCGCCGAAATTAGTAGCGGCGGATGGCGGCAGCAGTTCGGTGTAGTAGAATCCGAGTTTTGATAATTCCGATACCACTTGAGGAAATCATCGTAGTTTGGCGTAAAGTTCTGAGGAGTAGCCATGAGTATCAAATTTGGAAAAATTGCACGGTGGCGAGTGCGGTGGTGTTAAAATCGTCGGAATCAGACGGATCGAAGGAGGCGCTTTTGCCGGAAGGTCGCCGAAATTAGTAGCGGCGGATGGCGGGAGCAGTTCGGTGGTTACCAGAGAATTTTAGAAAGTGGGAGGCAAACCGGAGTGATGACACGGTTTGCAAAAAAAAATTTGTCACCGAAAGACAGTGGGTCAACCGGGTAAAACACGGCGAAAAATTGCCTCTTAATAGGCTCTAGATACCATATTGAATTAGGAGAGACTAAGAGACATTTAGGTTAAACTGTGTGTTTTGAAAAGTACTATGGAGACTTTATTATATATAGAGAGATTACAACTAATGTTATGATATAGTCGATGTGGGACTATATATATATATATATATATATATATATATATATATATAATATATATATAGATGAAAACCAGTTTTATGTACGGTTTTGTTTGAATTAGATTTAGCTTCAAACTGATATTTGCTATTTCATATTTTATTATTTGAAATATTTCTAAGTGGTGTAACACAAGAAGAGATGATACAGGTAATTGATGCGTATGCATTGATAGGGGATACCACTGGTCTTGCTGAAAAGATACAAAGTTTCTTCATGCAAGAAGTCATATCCGAGACACACTCAGTGCTAAAGGCTATTGTGCACGAGGTATTCAAACATGTTTTCTTCCCTGACCTATTTTTAGTTTCACCAGATTTTGAAATTGTCTAGGGAGGCAAGAGAGTTAATTGGTAGGAAGCTCGGACATCTTATTCTACTTTAACTCTATTTTGGACCTTATTCTATGATAGCAAACCAAGTTTGTTCATCCAAAAGAACCATATCTGAGGACAGACTATTGATATTTTCTTTTTCCCTGCTGCATACTTTTGGATTTTTTTTTCTTTTTCTTAAGGTTTTATTTGAAAAAAGTTCAAGCTTATAACTTATACTTGAGGGGCACTGTAGAGTTTATGAAAAAACTTGTCTTAATATCTTGATTGTATTATTGAGTAATTTGGAGTGTCTTAGACTAACTCTTTGGGAGCATTTGATTTGCTAAAGAATGATAGACCGGATAAAAAAGTGAAAGGCTATTGCACTCACTCACCTCTTCTAAGTTATGTTTGAATGACATACACAAGTCTTCTATTTTTTAAACAAACACTCAATACCCTTATTTGTTGGAAAAGTCGCGTTCACCTCACCCCGGGTTTGTCTAAATGACACTCCCATTTATTCTGTAAAAACCAGGGAGAGGCTGTGTAGACTAGGGGGGGTTAATTTTTTTTACCAAGTAGAGTGGATTCATATGTTATTTATACATATCTATGGTGAAGTGAGCTCAATTTCCCTAAAAACAAAATAGATGAAGTACATCATGAAGGTCTTAAATTTTTTTACTAAATAAACCATGGGACTTTTGTTCTTCCCCAACAAAGGTTGATCCAGTTTGTAAGGATGCAATGCATAACCCACAGCAACATGAATTGAGATTTCGCCCGCGATATACGAATCTCGTTAGTGGGTAATATTAATATGTTAGCTTTTATAAACATAAATAAATTAGGCACTCTTTTTGTCTCATGTGCAACATCATCTAAAAGTAAAAAAGTATCCTGCTGTTTTTTCTTGCTCTCGTTGGTTTATATTTCTTGATTCCTCTTCTTTTCCCAACTCTCTGTCCATCATCTCGTCCTCTTCTTTCCCTCAAAATTACCCGTCTTATGCATCAGCCGCCATACAGTAAATAAAACAAAAAGTTGTACTGCGACTTGGCTACTTGTGATGGGATGGTGTTGCTTTTATCTCTTCCTCTGTGGGCATAAAACATACCCTTAGGACCGATTTCCATATTTTCTTGTATTTCATTATTTGGTTCCCTATTGGATTAGTATTAGGATGGAGTCTAGTGCTAGCAAGAATAAGGTTAGTGCTCTGTCTTTTGTAACATCATCCAAAAGTGTGTCTCGTATAAAGCAAATACCATTTTCAAAGCATTTAGTTTTTATTCTCTCATTTTCCTCCGTGTGTTGCAAGCAATATCCGTGCCAGAATTATTAAAAAACACTGCTACAGTTTCCTTCAAGCCATGTATTTCCTTCTTCGTAGATTAATACTCCATCCGGTCCTTTTATAAGAGACAATTCACCTTTCTAGATTTATTGAATAATTAATGTATCTGGTTTATAACACAGACCAAATATATTAATTATTCAATAAATCTAGAAAGGTGAAGTGTCTCTTATAAAGAGGACCGGAGGGAGTATTACATTTTCTCTCCTTGATACGTGATTAAAATTGAGTGTGGAGCTGTAGTTCCCTGTATAAAAGTAATATTCTTTATAATTGCCATCTTGACATTTTTAATTATGGTATCACTATACCATTATCACTTTTCATTTCACATAAGCATATGCATATGTGGACATGTGGTTGCTGAGGCTTAGTGTTGTTATTCTTGGTTTACATATTATATTAGTTCAAGTGAAGATTGAAAGAACTTGATTCATCAATGTGGATAAGAGTAAAACACATGGCCATAATAATTGAGATTTGAGGCCTCAGAAGGCCAAACTAATGGTACTGTTGATAGCAATGGATTCACATTAAAATTTGCTTGACTTGATTTCTCTTCCAAGTTTGAACTAAAACACAAGATTCTTTTAATTGGTATGCTGATTTTTTTTTTGTAGGATGAGGAGGGACTTGCGCAAAATAGTAGGTACTTCTTTTCTGCAAGCATATTTACCATCCTTTCAATTACTTATGAGTACTCAGTCTGGTCCTTATCATAAGAAAAAGTTTACTTTTAGATTCATTGAATAACTATTGTATTTGGTCTATATAATAGACCAGGTGCATTAGTTATTCAATGAATCTATAAAGTAATTTTTTTTTCTTATACTAAGGACCGGAGGAAGTATTTTATGTTATTATTGGCTTCTTAGTTGTTATTTAATTTCCAGGCTCACTTACAGCGACCTATGCCTTCAAATACCTGATTCTAAGTTTAGACAGTGCTTACTGAGAACGTTGGCTGTTTTATTTGACCTTATGTGTTCATACCATGAAATTATGGATTTTCAGCTAGAGAGAGAGGTAAATTTCTGGTTCCTCCCATGTAAACATTTCCCCCTTTCATAATGCAATTTCCATTACTGGTTTGTGCAATCAAATATTCATATGGACTTGTACCCCTCCGAAAAATAAACACCTGGATTGATTTTAGGCTAGTTTTTCCCTTTGTTTTTCTGTTTCTTTGCAATGGTTAAGATGAAATTTGTTATTGGGTTTCCACCTCAACATCTTGTCTTTAGTTTTATGAGCTTTTCAGATCCAGAAAATATCTCAAACAACATGTAAGTTGGATAAATCCTTGATTTGGTTTTGATGAATTGAACAAATCCACTATTCAGTTCAGTGATAGGGATATTGTCAAATATTAGATATTTGAATATGTATCCAATCTTGAGACCGGGAAGAAGCTATTCACGATTACACTGTCATCAGTTGTTTGTTATATGCTATATGATATTCAGTTTTCTTCATTTGGTTGATTTTATTCCCAGGACTTACCAGCACAAACTTCTGATAAGTGCAACGAAGACATTTCTTGTGGTTTAGGTGTGGCTGGGGAAGTTGATTCAGACGTAAGAGCATGTAACAATTCTATGTCCAGTTCTGGGGATGTGATACATGGGTCATCTTCTATAAAAGCACCTTCAACAATCAGTTCACTGACTGAAACTACTGGTTCACCATACAGCGATTCTCATGATCCAGTGAATGAGGTTAGTAATGGGGAAAATTCAGCATCAAGCATCGATTCTCCATGGTACCATCTTCGGAAAGAAGCTACGACATTTGTCTCTCAGACCCTTCAAAGAGGGCGCAAGAATCTGTGGCATCTCACTGCAAGTCGTGTCTCAGTGTTGCTTTCTTCTGCTGCAGCTTGTTCTACAAGCATTCATCAATTCTTGAAAAACTATGAAGATCTGAGTGTGTTCATTTTGACTGGGGAAGCCTTCTGTGGGATTGAAGTGGTTGAGTTCAGGCAGAAGTTGAAGGTTGTTTGTGAAAACTATTTCATATCATTTCATCGACAAAATGTGCATGTAAGTGTCATAAAGGCTTCTCATTCTCCATGGTTGTTAGAGTCATTTAATGTTGATTGTGATTTTTTATGCAACGCCTTCTGAGCAATGTATAATATGCATATAGTGACTTTTTATGGCTCGTAGTTCATTATTCATCTAGTGAATTTTTCTTGCAACAGAAGGCGATCAAAATTACAGTTTTTTAGGTACTTTTGGATCCCGAAAATGTTAATAATAACATTTTGACCTATGCTATAACATGTCAGCTATGCCATTTATATTTTATGGTGCTATTGATTTTTAGTAGACTCGGAGAACCAGAAGGTCCATATAATCCTGGAAATTGCTGTGCTGTTCCTTTGTGGAATACTAAGAGCAATTTTGATTTGATAAACTGTTGCAAAATGTAAAAGTATAGATTTCATAACTGTGAACGAATTAACTAATTGTACCCCCCCCTTGCACTCCAAATTTGTTACGCTAAATTGTCATCGATTAGCCTATAAGGTGCTAAATTCCTGTTTATGTTTGTTGATTTTCCAAGCTCTGTACCTGAACTAATTACATAAATTGTCTTGTATAAATGGTTTATTTTTTCTGGTTTTCTCTTTTTAGGCCCTAAAAATGGTTTTGGAGAAGGAGACTTGGTTAAAATTGCCTCCAGATACTATTCAAATTATCAGTTTTGCTGGGCTTATTGGTGATGGAGCGCCATTGATTTCTTTATCTAGCAGTAAATCAATGAATGCTAATGCAATGCAATCCAATAATAAATCAGTGAACATGGTTCACACTGGTACAAAGAAGAGTGGGTTCTCTCATTGGATTAAAAATGGAAATCCTTTTCTGCCAAAATTATCAACCTCCAAAGAAGGTCATAGTACTCCCCAACCTAATGGGTCAAGTTATGGTGAATTTGATGGAGGCTCAGCCAACAACTATCATGGCGATAGAGTCTCCCCTAGAATGAATGACTCCAGTCAATTGAATGGTGCCAATTCTGTTTCAGAAGATGAAAATGAGGATCTTCTTGCTGACTTTATTGATGAAGACAGTCAACTTCCAAGTCGAAGTTCTAAACCCCATCTTTCAAGATTTCACTCTTCACAGGGTAATGACGAAGAGAGTACAACGCAAACTGGATCTTCTCTTTGTCTTTTAAGGTGGATTGCTATACGTATTGTATTAAAATCAATTATTTTCTACCATGTAATATTTTCTATTATTATTTTGAGGGATTTAATGAGATACCGTGTCTTAAAATGTAAGGTCTATGGACAAATATGCAAGGCTTATGCAGAAACTAGAATTAATAAATGTTGAGTTCTTTAAGGTAAGATATTCTGCATTTAATTGCGTTGCACTACTTTACACACTCCTGCTCTTTTCTTTCCTTATGCTATAATTTTCCTCTAAATCTTTTCCCTGATTCAGTGTATTTTTGCAGGGAATATGCCAGCTGTTTGAAATTTTTTTCTATCTTATATATGAAACATTTGGCCAGCTGAATACTACTAATTCAAGTGGAAAAAGCTCTGTTAACTCTCTTAATTGTAAGTGACATGGTTTATTCATACTCAGTTAGTGGCCAAATCCAATTTTGAATAGATTAGTAAGTAGTTATTGAATTGAATCGTGACACGCAGATCGCTTGAGGACAGCATTATCTAGAATAAACCAAGATTGCGAGGAGTGGCTTAGACCCAACTCATCTTCACCAACATCTTTAAGTTCATCATTTGTACATGCAGAGTTGACACCTACAAATCCTCCAAATATGAATTTTGGCCACCCCTCGGGGACTGCTTTTAGTCTTAAGGTATATATTTTTTGGAAAAAAGTTTCACGCATGCTTTATGAAGAAAAATATTTTCACGACTAAATTTGTGATATCCTCTACTGTACATTTTTTTCATTCTTTATTCTTAGAATTTGAGTTAAGCCTTACTCATCCCTGTAAAATTGGTTTGTAAGGTGTGGGATGGTTCCCATTTATAAACACTTTTTCAAGTCATATCTTATCCAATGTGAGGCTCTCAATTCCTATCATTGTATTGACATAATTGATGCTTTTTTATGACTGTTTTGAGAAAAAATTTGCATGCTACTTTGTAATATTTTTTTGCATCTTATTCTCCTTGTTACTGCTTACCATGTTTCGTGGTTATTTTCTTCATTCACCATCAAAGCTACTTATGGTATTAAAGAAACATTGCAAGATGAGAAGTTATATACCAAGGAAATTTCCCCCCTTTCCCATGTTGTTTTATGTAATTGGAGTTTGCATGGCTTGTAAACTCCGATGTTTTCTTGATTCGTGTAGTTTAGGTTTTGAATCAAAGATGATGTGCATATTTCATGCATGTCTCTGTAATTTTATTTTTATGTTTCAGGAAAGATGTGTGGCTGTTGACACTATATCTGTTGTTGCTCGAATATTGAATAGATCCAAAGCTCACCTTCAATCAATGCTCTTGCAAAGTAATTCAACTGTACTTGAGGATTTCTTTGTTCATCTGGTATGTGGAATCTCAACTTTAAAATTGCAGTGGTCAAGTTCTTTAGGAAATTGGTATAGATAGATCTTTGTTGTCTTTATTGACTATTCAACCCATGGAATTGATTGAGGAAGGTTTGAAATGTCATGGATTGGATAACAATGATTTGTCAGTGATATTTACTGTTATTCATGTCTGAGCCTTATTTAGTATGGAGTATTTGGAAAGAAGGTAATGAAATAGGACCATATATGTACCTTGGGGGTTAGTGTGCCCCCTTTTCTCCTCCTTTCGAATCCTCTTTACTAAACTGGCATAGGAATATTTATCAGTCTTGTGAAAAGTTATTTTTAAAGTGCCTATACACAGTGTGCTTACAAGGAGTAGCAGTGAACAACTCTGATCATGAATTCTATGGTGGCTATAAGGTTACATCATGTTTAAGGAACTATTTAAGTAATTACCCATCAGGATAGAGTGGGAAGGCAATGCTCATCAAATTTTCGTGAAGTCCCCTAAATAAAAGCCTCACGGGTTATTACCACATTCCTTGGATGGATATGAGAATAATTATAACTCATGTTACTCGCATTGCACCCTACAGAATTGAATGCGGCATTGTAGAAGGCAATTTAACTGTTTTGAATCTTTGATGAAGCTCGCTTACTAGAGCCAAGGCCTTTTGAGCATGTTTTTGCATATTATTAAGATGTCAGCTTCTAGTGAAAGATCTTGTTTGGATTATGGGTATTTAGGATATATATTTTTATTGGATTGCTTATTTCTAGTTCATTCAATTTTGTATCATTTAAGGTGAAAACAAAGTATGATAATAACGGATTTTAATATATAAGGATATCTTTAGGTGGATGCTGTACCAGATCTTGTAGAGCATGTGCATCACACAACAGTAAGACAACTGCTTCACATTAATGGGTAAGACAAATATACTCCTCGATAGGAGTGTATAAGGTTGCTTTGGAAGTGTTTCTAATGTACTGGGTTTTGTATTATAGATTTGACATCCAGAATTTGGGTCCTTTTTCTTTCCCAAAACTACTTAAGGAACACTATGTTATAATGAAATGAACTTAATTTGAGAAATATTTTTTATTATCTGGTTTGAACTACAAAAATTATCTGTTAGGTGCACAAAATATAAATTTTCAAATATATTGCTTAATATTATTTTTCAATTATGTGAAATATTGTATTGCCATTAGTGAGTCATTTTCATTTTTAGGTTTCCTTTAATTTAAAGGGATAAGTTATTCAAAACTGTTTTTTTTTTGTTGCAAAACTTCTCTTGTTATATTTTAAAGGATGCAAAATTGTGTTGTCAAATACAATTAAGGGATTGTGTCTTGGTGCTCAAGTTTGTTAGTGAGCTCCTTAGTTTTAATTCTGGTCACTTTACCAACACTATTGAATATTGATAATGGGTTACAAAATGTCAAAACACCATCGTCAATCTAAATTTTAGTGTTTTCTATTTGTATTGCTAAGTCATCTTAGAAAACTTCTTTAGACTAAAAATTTTGGTTTTTTAATATTTAGTGGACTTCTTACAGGTATGTTGAACGTGTTGCTAATTGTAAATGGGAAGTAAAAGAGCTTGGCATGGAGCATAATGGGTATGTATTTTTTTATCATCTTCATATTGGAATACCAAATCATTTCTTTCCTTTTTATATTACTTAATTGGTAGCTTCTCGTTTTATATCAAAGATAAACATTGTATTGCATCATGCACTGGTAAAATTTTATTTGCAGTATTGGTATTGGATTGGATGGCTGTCATTCTTTGAGTTTGAACATGCCAAGGTGTTTGTAGTTGTTAAGAGTCCCACATCGGACAATATATGGCCTGAACATGTGTTTATAAGTGAGGGTAATCCTCATCCTACAACCCACATATTCTGAGATGGTATCAAAGCCTCATCTAAGATCCATTGGGCCACCCACCATTTAGTTGAAGATGTCCTCCATGGATTGCTTGTTGGTTATGTGATCAAAGGGTTTCTTGAATAATCCTTTGGTAAAGATATCTGCAAGTTGCTCTGTGGTGAAAATATAGTTGATACATGTTTGTCAACTTCTACATGTTTGGTCCTGTCATGTAGGACTGGAATGTGAGCAATAGATATTGCAGTCTTGTTGTCACAATACAGTTTTATAGGTGGATAATTGCAAAACTTCAATTCTTGTACCTCACAAACTCAAAATTCAGCTTCTGCACTACTTGCTACAACGGTGTGTTTCTTGCTTCTCCAACTAACTAAATTTCCCCCAACAAAGTACAATAGCCCGATGTTGATCTTCGATCTGTTTTACTTCCAGCCCAATCTGCATCAGTGCAGGATTCTATTTGAAGATGTCCACCATTTCTATAGAGTAGAGTAGTCCTTTCCTAGATGACCCCTTCAAATATCTTATAATCCTGAAAACAGCCTCTTGATCTTCTCCCAACAAAGTACAATAGCCCGATGTTGATCTTCGATCTGTTTTACTTCCAGCCCAATCTGGATCAGTGCAGGATTCTATTTGAAGATGTCCACCATTTCTATAGAGTAGTCCTTTCCTAGATGACCCCTTCAAATATCTTATAATCCTGAAAACAGCCTCTTGATGTTCTGGTCCTGGTGCATGCATAAACTGGCTCACCAAACTAACAGCCAAGGCTATGTTTGGACGCGTACGAGATATGTATATCCACCTTTTTACCAAAAGTTGATACCTTCCTTTGTCTATTGTATTTTCAGCTTCGGCGGGACATCAACTTTATGTTGGATTCCAAGGTGTCTCAGCAACTTTTCATCCAAGTAATCCTGTTTCCTTTAAAAGGTCCAGAGTGTACTTTGGTTGATTCATAATGATGCCTTCCTTTGATCTTGCAAACTCAATTCTTAGGATGTATTTTAAACCTCTAAGTTCCTTGATCTCAAAGACTTTTAGCAAGTCTCTCCCTCAATTTTTGAGTTCCAAGCTATCATCATATGGTACTATAATGTCATCCATATATAGTACCAGTACCACATGTTTGTAACGATTATTAATGTCTAATCATGTCGGGATGTATTCTATATCTCATGAAAAAGTCTTTGATGACTCTTTGGGGCAAATAGTATGAATTTAAACATTGTTCTGTTGGAATGGAATGTAACGGGTTTTTTTATTTTTGACGGAATGGAATGTGTTACAATATATGGCCTGAACATGTCCTTATAAGTGGGTGTAATCCTCACCTTACAAGTCAGTTTTGTAAAGTTGAGTTAGACCCAACCACATTTCTTTAACATGATATGAAGAGTCTCGTTTAAGATCCGGTGGGCCACCTACTATTAAGTTTCCTCTATCGTGCCACCCATCATTTATTTTCACGCTCTAGATGTCCAGAGCATGAGGGAGTGTGTTAAGAGTTCCACATTGGACAATATATGATCCAAAACATGTCCTTATAAGTGGGGGCAATCCTCACCTTATAAGCTGGTTTTGTAAAATTGAGTTAGGCTCAACCCCAACCACAATAATAATAATAATAATAATAATAATAATAATAATAATAATAATAATAATTATTATTATTATTATTATTATTATTATTATATTTGCATCCCAGTGCACAATAAATGTGAGTTTTTTGAAGCTATACAATGAAGCTTGTGCGATCATGATCGTGGTATTCCACCCCAATTTTAAACAATCCACTGGGGAACCAAACATTTACATAATCTGTATTCATGTAAATAGTGATTAAAGTTTATTATAGCATATTTCACCATAATTATATTTTCTTCTCATTCTTTTCCTTTAAATGCTTATTAACTTCATAAAATGCAACTAATGATACAATTCCATTGTTTGAATATTTTAAAGATGAGATAAATAAATTGACCTATTCTTTTCCATTCCCTCCAAATTGGACTGGAAGAGAAAATTGGGGCATCGGATGGAATGACAGAGAATGCATCCCTTCATTTTTATTTCTACTCCATCCTATTTTAATTCTTAGAATGTTTATTTTGGATATAAGCTGTATTGTTACTACCGCTCTGACTTAAATGGCCCTGATAGGTATGTTGATTTGTTGCTGGGGGAGTTTAAACACTTTAAAACACGACTTGTCCATGGAGGAATTCGTAAAGAGGTATTGCTGTTATACATTATCATGAAACAATACTCATCTAGTGCATACTTGACAATTTATTACAAAAAGTACATATTTATGTTTGAAAATCAGGCTTATAAATTGTATAGAAGAGTGCCTCAACAAATTTGTATGGAGGAGAAGCACAGAAAAATAATTCTTAGTGTCTAAACATGACATTTGACTCGCAAATTATACTCTTGTATATGCAGACTCAAGACATATTGCTGGACTATGGGCTAGACATTATTGCAGAAACTCTTGTGGAAGGACTTTCGCGGGTGAAGAGATGTAATGATGAAGGACGAGCTCTAATGTCATTGGATCTGCAGGTTATTTCTTAGCTACATATTTTCTGTGCTTTCAATAGTTTTTAGATTTGAAATTTATGTGGTAGATTATTACTACATTAATCATTGCAACAACCTAATTTAATCTTAATCCACTTTTAAACTTCATAATTGAAATAGTTTATATATGTTTTTGGCATTGAAACCTGTTTCAATTTTATTCTTTTTAGTTTTTATGTTTTAAAATCTTACTATTTTCAGTTTTGGAGAGAACTGAAAAACACTATTTTTGCTAAATGTAGGAGTGAAGGAAGAAAATGTTATTGTGGGGACTGATTTCCTAACGCATTTTTAAGGATAAAATATATTTGAGCCAATTAAAACTCACTAGTATGTGGATGATTTTGCTTAGTTTAGCTTTCTTTCTTGCAAAAATAATTAAGTTGTCCACCAATATTTTATTTTCAGATATGAGTATGAATTTGTTTAGCATGAATTTTGGTTTTGTTTCCTATACTTTTGTTCTTTATTTGTTTTCCCTTTTTCTTTTTCAGTTTTTTCAAATTAAAGATCTTGCTTAAAAAAAATGATACCGAGTTTATCAGTATATTGAAATTTCACATTCCTTCATAATTTTCGTTTTCCTCCCTTGGATGTTGATTTCTATTGTTACACCTTTTAGGTTTTGATAAATGGGCTAAAGCATTTTGCGTCATTGAATGTAAAGTCCAAGCTACAAATGGTGGAAACTTTCATTAAGGTAAGGAACTATGCAAGCGGGAAAACATTCTCACCACACTGTTTGCAAATTCTGATGGGTTTTAGTTACACTGTAGAAATAGTTTGTATTATGAAACTTCAATTAAATTGAATGCAATAAACATTTTTTTATCACTCATGGACATCTTTCCCTTGGACTTTTAAACCAGGCTTACTACCTTCCGGAGACAGAATATGTACACTGGGCACGTGCGCACCCGGTAAGAATAGTTCCTTTCTGCAGCATCATTACTTTGCCCGATATGTAATTGCTTTGGTGTATCATTACGCCGTCTGATTGCTTAGGTCTTTACCAAACATCCCATCCCTTGCAGGAATACAGTAAAACCCAGGTTGTTGGATTGATCAACCTTGTTGCCTCTATGAAAGGGTGGAAGAGGAAAACAAGGTTGGAAATACTGGAAAAGATTGAGTAAGTAGGTTTCTTTTGTCGTGTATGAAGTTAGGCATATAGAATCTTCTACTCCTTTTCCTCGTTCTCTTTCATTTTTGGCAGAGCTTCGTGTAAAGGTAGTGTATATTACATGGTATTTGATCCCTATTAATTATTCAACATTTTCTGAGTCCTGAGTGTCCTGTAGATATAGATAGCCCTATGAAAATAAGTTGTAATTGTACAATAATTTTTATTCTTTTTATGTTTTAATAACTCAGCTATCTCTGATCAACCTCGTCTACTCTCTCTAGATAGTCTCTACCCTGTTGTTATTGTTGATTCATTAAGAATACCAGCACAACTTGAAGTTGTAATGGATTTCATGATATCGTCAATATTACAATGCAACTTTCTTATGTAGACAGATAGTGTAGTTCACATTCGCAGTGTTGCCCCATCTATTACTTCTCCCCTTTATTTTATTTTTTAACTTGTACATGC